AGATTTAGGAATAAATTCAAATAAAATAATCATACCTGTTCTTGTTATATCTAAAGCTGATGATGGTTCGGATACTGGTGAAAAAACTAGTGATGATATTAGTGACTACTTTGTTGATGCTGAAGAATGGACTCGTAATTTTTTTTAATTTGGTAGTCACGTTGTTCATGTAGTGGTTTTAGAACTTTTAAATATGAATATATATATATATACATACATAATCTTTTAATTACTAAATTGTTAATATATATATTAATACACATTAAACAATAATTCTAAAAAAAAAAAAGAAAAATTCGTCTTTTCTCTGTTTGTATTTCTTAAATATTATTTATACTTAGTGCTTATGAGTTAGTGTATTTGTCATAAATTGATTTTAAATTTGTGTTTGTATTAACTCGTAACGATGATATACCTCTCACGCAAATTACATCATATGACCTTGTATCTCGCGTAAAGTCCACGTAAATAATTAAGAAATCATAGCTACCAAATATAAAATAAAAATTTAAATTATCACTCAAAATTTAGTCTTGGATGCACCTCGCGCAAAGTTATATGATTTGCCTTGTATGAGGTACACCTCTAATCATCATTTTAATAGTTTGTTACGTGAAATAGACCTGTCATTAGGCTGTTACTCAATAAAGGGGTCGTCTAAAGCCATGTACCCATGTGACTTTGTTGTGTAAATCAACCAACCGGAATTGCGAAATTTTGTTTACACGGATCAGTCCGAAGAAGTCAAAAAATAAAGAAAACGCAAAAAGACGAAAAACGACAGTCTTAACTTATCTTGGAGCACTAGTTAAAAATGTTGGGAAGGCAATTTTACTTATACTCCTCTTCTTATATCAACACCCAACTAACCCTAATCCTAACCTTAATTTTAATTTAAACGATTAAACCGTTAAAATCACGTGGGTACATGGCTTTAGCCATCCCCCTTTTAAAGTATTGTTCGGGGTGCTACACAAAGTCATGATGACAGATTACCCAATCATATGCTGAGAATTGTACACGCATATTTGAGTTGCCTGTAAACCATACACTACGTTGTACATTGTACAAACTCCGTTCCTGGTACTTGCCGACTATTGTGTTGACATATGTGATTGAGTTATTAATCGAATTTTAACCTTTTACGGGACCATATTTAAAATACATAATTATACTTAACTAATTGACAAGCTTCAGTTGCTCATGTATCTTTTGGTTTAATTTTTAATAATTTCTCAAAGTCAGCAATTGATTCGTCATACTTTTTCATTATATAACTAATTTCTCCTCGATACTTGAGTGTGGTTATATTATTATCTTGTCCAATTTCTAGCAACCTAGTTGAATCTTCCAATGCTTTATCATATTCCCCATAATAAAAAATATTTTTTCCCGATAGTTTAATTCAAATACATTGTTTTGCTTGTTTTCTAACGATTTTGTTAATACGTTGTGAACTGTAAAAGATCGTCAGGTCGGTGGCTCCAAAATCGGGTACGTCTTATAACCACTCTGGGTTAATTTCGTTCGAAAGAGGC